GCCCACCTATGGCTGTCGGGAAGCATGGGGGAAGCGGAGGGAAGTGGAGTTACGCGATACAGAGTCCACAGGGCCTCACTTTCTTCAACTAAGTCCACTTAGTAAGTTTCCACCCCTCCCCGCAACAGCCCGACAAACGGTGAAGCCATCCACAATCACTACTTGGACAAAGTCAGTCCTCATGGTCCAGTCACTTTCCCAGGTCTCCACCCAGCTCACTGGGGACAACCAAGCCTTTAACACACAAGCCTAATCCAAACCACTCCAGAGAGGGAGAGAGGGACGGAAAGACACCTAGGCTTACCCACCAAGGCCTAATTCCAGTTTGCTGCCCAGATGAGCTCTGAGTCAGGCCTTGGGGGAACTTAAGTCTCCAGACAGACCTGTCTACCTCACGCCAGTGTACACTGAGTGAGAAAACTGACACACACGAGACTGAATACAAACTGTGAAGGCTTGCCCTGTGCTTCGGCCAAACTCCACCTCACAGGCCATGGGGCCCACAAGGCCAACTGCCTAACAACATGAAGCGGGAGCACACAGGTGGCTCCCCCCCCCCCCCGAGAAAGGTGACAGCCCTCCAACTAAAAGATGTGAGCTCAGCAGTACACATACGATGTTGCAAGACCAAGCTTGGGGTGCTCTGGTCCCTCAGCTACACTGGGAACCAAATTGCCCTCACCCAGGTCTTTCCTCACAACAGAAAATCATAGGTCCCATAATGACCACCTTGCCAAGGCCTCACTCACTCTGTGCTGGCAGGCTCCTGAGAGCCTTCTCCTGGCATGAGCAGTGTTTACTCTCCAGAGGGACACTGAGTCGGGGCTAAGTCTAGACCACAGTTCCAACCCTGGCCGTCCTCTCAGAACATGGCCAACACTGGTGACTCCGAGACAGTAAAGTAAGCACAGCCAGCAAGCCAAACACCCAACTAAGCTGCAGTGTCCTGCTGGAAGCCAGTGACATCCTCAAGAGAGTGTCATCCCCGAGGGCTGCGAGTATGGCCCCTTTGTTCACAGCCAGCCGTGCTGAAAGTGGTTAAGTCAGAGCTCTCAGAATACCAGAGCTGAGCAACCACACTGTGCAAATTGAGCAACAATGAGACATTCTAGGTGAAAGCCTGCTGGACAAACAGTTAGGTTTGTAACTTGGGCAGCCCCTCATCAGGTGCTCCTCTGGGGCACTCAGCAGGACACCCTAATCTCAGGGCCATCTTTTAGTGCAAGATGCAAGCACATTTCAAAGTCCCAACATTTGAAATTCAAGAGAAGAAGAAAAGGAGCAACCGTGAAACTGACTTAGCACAGGAAGCTGGGGAATCTGCCTTCACTAAACACATTTCATTTTCATGGGATTTGATGAAACACAAAGGGGGACTCTTGGCCAGCAGGGAAAAGAAATCCCTGACGGTGTGTTTCCATGAAGGCTTGTTGCTTTCCCAACAGAAAAGACTTTAAAGTAAGCAACCCTGAGCTCCTGGCAGAGAGGAGACACCCCAAAACTTGAGTTCTGCTTGGAAGCTGCACACTGTCCTCACAGAAGCATTTCTAAATGGCCACACAAGCTAACAGACCTGGCTCATACCCCATTGCTGAGGGATATGAAGAAGACGCAAGTATCCACAGACAAGATGCTCTCTGAGTCATTCAGGACCTGCTGGGCCACTTCTACCCATGGCTGCCCATACAGGTGGCCTTCTCGGCTGTCTGCTTCTGTTCTGCCAGATAGTTTATTGCATATGGATCTTCCTGTGATCAAGGGTTGGCACTCAGTATGGTCTCCTTCTGGGCTGGCAGATGGCCACCTTCCCACCATATCCTCTTATGGCCAAGGGGAAGATCTTACTCTTAATTCCTCTCAGTCTCCCTCACTCTTACCTAACCTCTTCCTTCCCTCCATCCTCTTATTGGGATACCTGTCCCACTGGATCAGGACCCCATTCTCAAAACTTTATTTTACCTTAACCATATCTAATAAAGAACCTATCTCCAAATACAGACGCATTGGCGACTTGGGACTTCGACATGTCGATTCATCCATAAACACCCATGCTTCCCCTGGCTGCTGGCCAGAGGGAATGAAGAGTTCTGGTGGGGTCCCATGAGCCAAAAGCACACGAAAGAACCAGAGTCACTTTGGAGGGGACAGAAGTCATAGATGGAAGCACTCAAAGAATCCAGGGCATCAATCCAGGCCCGGAGGGTTCTGGGCACCATCTCCCAAATCTGCTTTCACAGGGCCTGATTTCTGCAGTATGAGGGCTTCAGCCCACACAGGAGGGTGCTGCAGTTACAAGTCAGACACTCCAGGGGCTGTGTTAACACTGCTCTCCCAGAACCTTTGTGGGGGGCGGGGCAAAGAGAAAGCCTGGTGATCTCCACTGATGCCATGAGATGGCTTCCTGGGGCCAACTTAAGGAGAGTGGTCAAAGCTCCCTGGCAGGAGCTGTCAGGCTGTGCAGGATTTAATTTGCCTCAATCTAACCAACGGGGAAGGCTCCCAGTGGCTGCTGTAACACAGGCCAAGGAGGCAACACAGGCCAGGCAGAATCAACCTATCCTGGGAGAGGCAGTCCAAAATCAGCTTAGACAAACAATCATTCCAAAAATATTGAAAAATAATATGTCTGTAGAGTTTGAGGGAATTTGAGAAGCTCACAATGGAGGCAGCTGCTGAGAAACCAAGTTCCATGCTGACAAGCCCCAAATTGTACCTTTTCCTGCTCAAAGAAGAGCGTGCCATGGTGAAATCTTGGTGGGAAAATCAGCTTAGCAGCAGCTGGTGACACAAAGCTCAATGATCACACAGAGATTAAACTTCAGTCAGCTCAAGTAGCCAGGTGACATTTTTACCGTAACTCCGCTGGGCTCTATTTCCAGAGGTTGAAATCCTGTATTAGTTACCTTGTCACTTCTGTGGTCAAATATCTGACCACACAAGGAAAGAAGGGTCTACTCTGGCTCACAGTGCAGTTTACCATGGCTTACCATGAGGCAGCTGGTCACATGACATCTGCTGATCACATGACATCTGCCAGGAAGCAAAGAAAGATAAATGCTGATACTCACCTTGCTTTCTTTTTATTCACCCTGGGACCCCAGCTCATGGGTGCCCACATCTGAGGTGAGACCCACCTCAAATAATCTAATCTAGAAACTTCCTTGCAAATGTGGCCAGAGCCTTGTCTCCTAGGTGAGTATAATCCTGTCACATTGCTAAGCACTGACCCTTCCAGCCTTACGTCAGCAGCTCCTAGTCCAGTGCCTCTGAAGAAAATTTTGCATGTCCCATAGTGGCTTGTGAGGATCCTGAAGTAGGTCCGAGGGGCATCTTGACATCACACGCTATTAGCTGGAGAAAGGGAGTGGGGATACACTCTGGACCATCCGTAATGAGCAAAGGGCTGTCCCTAGACATGCACACACCTGTGACCACATACAGGTCTTCAAGCTCAAGGCTGTCACTGTCTGAAACTCCACTCAGAACTCCCAGGAGCCCTGGGACTGAGGCCCACTGCCCTTGTTTTAGAGAGTGAAACAGGATGGCTATAACCAGAAGTACAACAAAAGAGCTGAACAGAACGGCCTTTAAGAGAAGGAAGAAAAAGAAATGAAGTAAGGCAATCATCTGGTGTGGCTGGAGGATGAAAGTTGACACCATGAATCTGTTTCAGTGTGGTTACAGGGGTCACAGAGTAAATAACCCACAGGCTTTTCCCTGGTCCCAAAGGACAACAAAGCTGTGTTTTCTGTATAAGAACTGTTTTGAGTACCAGTGCTGACCACTCCCCAAAGATGGCGGGGAAGGAAAGGACTGCACCCCTAGCAGTACCCACCACCTGATCCTAAGACAGGCAGGAGGGGAACCCTCCATCAGGGCACAGAGCTGTCTTCCAGTCCTCTAGGTCCATGTGTTCCTGCCTCCTGCTTTGCTGTCTTCCGTCTCTGGACTCTGACACAGATACGATGAACTCAACAAAGCACACCTGTGGTACACAGTGTCTGTGTGTGTCCAGAGATGACCGGCACCTGGATAGCAACCAGGAGGAAGACCAGGCCTGCACCTGTGTGGTATCACCTGGCAGGCCCCTCTTCCTCGGTGTCCTAGATCCCTGTCCTGACGCCTGTGCCAGGCATGCAGAAGTGGAGATATGGCTCCCAGGCGGATGGTGTAGGCCCTGGCAGTGCTTCTGAACATGCACAGACCCAGGGTGCACCCCGTCTGACCACTGGCAGACGTGAGATCCACCATATGCCCCACTCCCCAAGAAATCAGTGGCTCTGGAAGCAACTTCGTTCATAGAGAGATCCACCTACTAAGGACAAGAGCTGCCCTCAGGGTTCAGAGATATGAGAAGCAGCTCCTCATTTCTCAGTGATCCCGACCAAAACCAGCCCATCCCAAGGTGCCAGAGTGGATAATGCTCTGTCAAGGTTTCTCCAGTCAAACTTCAGGGCATGGAGGAGAGGACCAAGGCTGTGGAGTTCTCTTTCCTTATAAGTGGTGCCAGACTAGTCTTCAGTGTCCGAGGATGCCTTGAGCTGAGCTTGGTAGTCAGCCCACCCTCCACCCAAGTCTTGAAAAACAAGAGAGTGTGACGGCCCTTCTCCATTAGTGCCAGCAGTGAGCTGCTACCACCTGTCCTGCTCCTCGATCCTCCCAACTCTGCTGAGAAGTTAACCTCTCCTCTGATTTCCAGAAAGTTCCCCCACTAGAGCTGGCCCAGTAAGTGGAAGTTTAGATTTTCTTCCTTCCAAGATTGTGAACAGTGTTTATGAACACAGCTTCAAAATATTAAATGATCAGCAGACACAAGGCCTGTACAACTTTCTCCTTCTGATTCCTCTGCTGGCCAATAGCCTGCTGCCTCTGCAAACTGTCAAGAGGCATGAGCCTCACTTCAGCATCTTTCCTGCTTAGACAATGCTACATGGGTGAGGAAATCCAGTGGCACAAGGAAGCGTTTTCCAGCTCTTTTCCAACATGGGGAAGGGACTTACTGGTCATGCCGGGTGTCAGGAATGCCTCGATCCATACGCAGCTTGTCACTCTCTACTTGGTTGAACTTGTTGCGTGCATAGGGGTCCTGCCCAGAGCGAACCATTGTCCCTCCAACATACACCTCCTGGTTAAAGTCTGGCCACCGGACTTTCCCTGGAAAAGGCAGAACAGAAGGTGTGGGACAAGTGGACATAAAACCAGAGTGTTGCCAGAAATATCAATGAGTGTTAAATCAAGAAACAGTGGCCTTGGCTTGTTCATAGGATGACAATTTCAATCAAAAAAAAAAAAAAAAGTAGCTGAAAACAGCCCCAAGCACTGTCATATGGGAGCTGAGAGTCTGCCGTTTGAAAGACAAGAGTGAAAGGCCTGGCAGTCTGTGGATGCCCACAGAGGCTTCTTAGCGAGACCTCAGTCAAGGTCAGAGAATCTGAGTTTGTTTTACCCAGCAGAGCTTCATGATGGGATGATTTGGCCACGGGCGTGGTTACCAGGTGTTTGGAAGGGTCTACACTTGGCTGTACATTGTGCTTTGATCTTGAAAGGGGGAGGTCTTTTGCCTTGCCCCTTGACATTGAATAAAAGCCCTTTGGAATAAACCTTGAGGTGACTGGGTATTGACCCAGGGCCTCTTCGAAGCTATCCTGTGTCTCTGTCTTTCTCTGTCGTCTCTGCCTGTATTTCTAATACTTCTTTATTCCTCTCTCATCCCCTCAAGAACCCTTCGACAGGTCAGAGCTGGACTCTGATGGACTCCTACAGCAGTCAGGCTCCATCCAAAGCTCCCCAAGACTTTGCTGGCAACTCTGGCACTTTCTGTGAAGGGATGTTCTCTGTCCAGCTTCCTGGGGACTTTGGTCATGTCCCCAAAGCATTCCAGGCAGGCAAAAGAGACAGTGTATGTGTAAATTAATAAAGCACTCCGCTGTGCAGCCAAGCACCACAAGAATAAGTGTTTGGACGATTGGGGTCCCAAACCTACGCCCAGAACAAAGCCACCTGGAGATGGTACTGAAGGTCCTCAGCAGCGCAGAGGTGACAGTCAAGGCACCTCCAGACTGAGCCTCCAGGAGAAGGTCAATGGCTAAGGCGAAGCTGGCAGGAGGGGAGGTGGGCTAGAGTCACACTACCCAGAGTGCTATTTGTTCTTTTGGTTGCTTGGTTTTTTAGACAGTAGCTCATGTAGCCCAGGTTATCCTCAAACTTACTAGGCAGCTAAAGATGACCCTACCTCCTGACCCTCCTACCCCCATGCTCAGCTCTGCTATGTGCTCTCTGAGCTCACTAAAATCATCACTTACTTCCCTCTTTCCTCCCTGGAAAGAGGGTCCTATGCTGCTAAATACCACTGGGCTAAGGGTATCCATGATTCATTCCTGCAGCTCCCCCTGCCTCCAATACACCTAAACATGCTTCCCCTCTGAATGCCATTACTGTCAGCCCAATCACCGAACATCAGGAGAGGGACACATTCCCGTAGTGTAGAAAATACCACACCCTAAGAAAGGGTATTGCCACAGCTTCCTGTGAGGCCTCTTCGGGGTTCTCTCTGCAGCTGTCAGGATGCCTGACCTTATGGAGAAGTAAAGAGTGTAGCTGTCAGAGACACCCCATGACAGACAGGACCCAGTCATTCCTCATATACAGGTCTTTTCCTGGGGAGAAGGTCATTAGAAGAGCCTGTCCACCCCCAGACATTTCTTAGTCTTGTCAATTCCTTCCTGTTGGCATCTTCCCTGTAGTCAGACTCCTATGCCCTCTCTGGGGGTGCCATGTGGTCATGGAGAGGGTTTTATGTGGTATATCAGGCCATGAAATTGTAGGACACCTCACAGCTTTGCCTCAGTATCTCTGAGGCACTAGTCACACGCTGGCATCATGCTAGATCCATAGGCCTAGGTGACAAGGCAGATTCATCCAGCCCCACTGAAGTGTGCATGTTCTGAGGGGGAAGAAGACAGACTAGCGAGCCACAGCTAAACCTGCAGGCCAGAAAGCCCCCCAGAAGGCCTGTCTGAGCTGAGGTCAAAAGCCTGTGACACCTCACCAAATGCCATTACTCTGCAGCAGCTCCTCCCTCTGACCATGGCCATCTCCAGCTGGACCCACAGATCCCACCTTGCCATGATGCTGACTCTCCCTAGGGCCCAAAGCCCCAGGGCTAGAGACTGAAGTAGCCTTTCCTTTCAGAAAGTGTGTTAGGATGTGAGAATGCCATGGGGCTGCAGATGCGTTCAACTGTGACGGGCATCCCGTCATGAATCAGAAGTCTCAGGCATTCACACAAACGGCTAGAGCCTACCAGTGTAACACTCACCCTCGCTAGAGGGAAGGCACAGGTGCAGCCTGTGTTTTCAAGTGAGTGTGACAAAATATGGCTTCATCATCTAAGAATGGTTCAAAACCCGTAATCTGAAAAACACTGGGCTCAAGAACCAATCATGGAAATTGGTCTGTCTCACGCAGAATTGTCAGGTTGGAGACCCCTGGGGCAGAGGCAGCAGAAAGCAGAGGAAGGAAGCTCAGGGGCCCGTGCTCCAGCCTGGCCCGTCCCCAGCTGGCCTCCACTCCAGCCTGGCCCATGCCCTCTAAGCGAGGCTCACACCTGAGCCACTGCCTGAGTCCAGCCCAGCCCACACAGACAGGCAGGCAGCCAGGTGCGGAGAGCTGAGAGCTGGGCAGCACAAGCCACACAAAAGAGCAATCCACTGAGTCCTCAGAGTCACAGGCCACCTGCACGCCTAACAGCTTAAAATTTCAGTTTTGGAGATTACAAGTTCCAGAACAATAAAACAACAACAAAAAACAACCCCAAGAAAACAAAACATCAATTTTGTGATAGGTTGGAAAAGGCTCCAGTCACCAGTCACAGCCCTGCTCCCACACACTCCCACTTTGAGCTGACGGAAAAGCCCGAGATAACATTTCACAGGAGGCAGTAGGAGCTAGCTCCATCATCAAAGTTGACAAGAAAATAAAGTGAGCATCCAGACAGTGTGAGAACCACAGAGCACATCACCCCAAGCTGGCTGGGGAGCAGGTGCTCACTGGGCAGGGCTGTGGAAACATTCAGCAGCAGATTTGCTTAGGAGTGGACTTCTCCCAAGCAGAGCCTTTGGGTGGAGCTGTGTGTTGCAATGCATGTTGAGACCAGCCATAAAAATGAGGTATGACAGTGACCCAGAGTCAGGAGGAACAGTCTGAGCCCACACTGACTGGGCTGGTATGTCTTTACCCGCAGCCCAGGCAGTCCTTTAGGTCCTGCCTCTCCAGAAACTGTGCATAACCAGTCTAAGGCCACCTTCAAGACTGTCCTCTGAGGAGCACTGGCTCGTGCGTGTTCCCACTGACCCTGTATTATTCCAATCTTCCATTCCCCCTTAAGATGGGATCCAGACTTCCTGGTCACAGCTCCAGGCACCTGTAGGTTCTTCCTCTAGGTTCCTAACCAGTCACAAACGCCTGCCTCCACTGCCTCACTACTGTTGTCTCATCCTGGACGAAGGCAAGTGTAAAACTGGCCAAATCCTAGGCCTGACTTGGAAGAGCACAGCTTCACACTGGCACTCACTCCCCTGCAGCAGCAGACCAGGAAAGACCTCCAACTGGCAGTCAGGAAACAGGAAGCCTAAACCAAAGCTCAGGTTCTTCAGGATGAAAACAACCGCCACCTATATATTTCTTTCTAATGCTATCCCCAGGAACTGGAGATGGGGGAAGGAGTGGCCTTCCTCTCCTGTCCATTCACTGCTGGACAGTCTCAGATGGCCAGCGGAGGCGAGCTGGAGGAAGGGCTGGGCTAACAGCAAGAGGAGGCATGAGTGCTCCTTGCCCATCATTCCCAGCCCACAGCCTGCAGCCATGGAAACAACAGCTCAGAGTCAGGAGAGGGATGAGTCAGTGAACATGGATCAACATGCCCTTGGGAGAGAAAGGATGAGTCTCTGTGGGCCCTGAAGAGGGGACCCAGGGATGGTGCTGTGAAGATGACATCCTCCACCTGTCTTCCCTACACTGTCCTGTCCTGGCTACTGCCTACCTTTGCCTACAGGCTGTAACACACACACACACACACACACACACACACACACACACACACACACACACACACACACACACACCCTGCCTCCCGGCCACTCATATCTCCTTCTACTCTTCCCACAGATGACTTACCCAGACTCCTCCTGACATTCAGACTGCAATAGGTGTCAGCCTTGAGTTTGGGACTGCAACTCAACATTTTAGTTAGACATGGCTGGACTCCAAAGAGGCCTCTCTATCCCAGAGCCTCCTGTGAGGCTCATGAGTCACTCTTCTGACTGCAATCCTTAGGTTCCTAGTTCAGTTCAAGAAATTTCCCATATCACCTGCCCTTGGGCAGGAGCACCCAGAGGCTTGCTACACACAGGGGCAGAAGCCCAGGGAGGCTATCTATCCAGCTCAGGGCTTGGGTGACCAGGACAGAGAACTCCTCAGGGCCAGAGGAAAGCTGATGTCAGGTTTCTAATAACCCATCTATAAATGAACCTGAAAAGACCACAGAGCTATTCAATCAGGTATGTCAGACTTTACATGATGTGTATCAATACATTTAACTTAAAATAATGTAGATTTCTTTCTTAAAAGTTTTGTTTTTACTAAACCTCATTCCTGAAAGAATAATCGCATCAATCTATAATGAGTTTTCACAAAACCGGCAGGCCTAGTGCATGTTGGAAAGCAGGCACTGTGAGACACATGTACATGCTCTTAAGAGGCTTCTGGGTGCAAGAACAGGGTACCCGACACATGCTCCTGAAGACGGGTGTGCCATTTATCACCACAGGTGTCTGGGCAGACAGGAGCCTGCACGTCATGGGCTCCGAGTTCTGCACAGATGTGGACTCCCCAGCAGAGGCAGCTCAAGCAAACGCCAGCACCCTGGATAGAATGCTTATCTCGAGTGGAACCACCTTCTCCTGGGACAGCATGGGAAAGGGGGCATGCAATAACCCACAGACAGATGCCTGTGCCTATGAAGCCCCTGAACTCAAACTGAACCTAATATTCCTGTGCTTGAAAGAAAAACCTCATGATACCCCTGCTCTAGCAAGTGTCCAGCACAGAAGAGAAGGCCAGGACAAAGCCAGGACTGCAGCAAAACAGGCCTGCTT